GGGGAGAGTAATGAGGGAGAAAGCGCTGGCACATATCAAGAGCTCTAGTGCCACAGATAAAGGTACCCAAAAGCTTCAGCCTGAACACAGTGTTTGCAGGCAGGGACAGCAGTGCCCAGCGCCTCCGGGACTGAAAACATCCCAATTCCAAGGGCTGAAAATGATGAAAACATCCCAATTCCAATTCCACTGCCCTCTCCGACTCATAGCACTGCATGCAGGAATGGGGCCAGTTCACACCATTGCTGGCATTTCCCATCCCTGCTGTCGAACACGGTGAATCCCAGCCGGTGCCATGCAAACCGCCACGGCTCAGACTGTGCTCTGAACACAGGGGCTCTGCTTGTCATCCCGCTCTGAAAGACTGGAGGAATCTTTTCCCCAGCATCTGCTCAAACACCGGAGCTCCCAACACAAGGCTCAGCCCTCGGCAGGCAGCCGTGCAGAGACGGCCGTCTGCAAACACCGGGACCTCCAACTCACTGGCAGCGACGAAAGAAAGTTATTACAAAACCAGAAGGCTGATATTTAACCCATTACCCAGCTCCTAAAAGCATTAATGTGCCTTGAAAAAAAGACTAAACGGAAGGAAAAGCGACAACCAACACTTATGCGGTGTCCCCTGCAGCGAGGAGCGAGGTGCGCCCAACACCAAGCTCTGCCCCGGGACCCCAACGCTCTTTGCTACCTGCTCATCCGGGGCAGGCTCTCCCGACCGCCACGCAGCAGCCCCGCTGCCGACACACGGCTCAGACGGCTCTTCCCGCATACAAGGCTGTTACCTCGCTTAAAGGACCATCTCTTCTTCCAGCGCTTCGAAAATGAGGGCCAGGAGTGGTTGAGCAGCGAGTCTGCCATTTGGGAGCCCTGTGCAAGGTATAACCCCGAGCAGGAGACGACAGCACAGAGCACGGCAGAGCTCAGCGCGGTCTAAGGCAGCACTGCAGGCTGCAGCCCAGGGGCTGGGAAGGGGGGAGTGGAGAAGCCAAGTGTTTTGTCAGAAGTATCAGCTGATGGAAGCTGTAGCCAGAGAGAAATTCCTGGTCTCTGGCGTTCCCACCTGTGTGATGGGTCAGTGACTTCCTACAGCGGGACCCGGGGAGGAGTGGCACCGGAGCGCACACAGCCCCTGAACGCTGCCCGAAGTGTGCAGATGGAAACAGAAAACAAGCTGTGAGCACACCATAACCCCCTTCCTCTCTCTGCTCCAACCTCCCTGCTCCATTCATGACGATCAGCTGTCAGCCTGACAAACCACCGCCTTTAGGGTGGTTCTGCAGGGGCGGAACCTTCACCTGGGAAGCGTAGGGTAAGAGTTAAGACCACAGGCTTCGTATTTGCACCTTTGGCATTGTTTTCAAGTGCCAAGCACAGCCTGTGCAAGGGAAAGCGCGAGACCCTGACCGTCTGCAACATCAGCATCGTCTTGCAGCTCACAGCAAGTCCCCATCCCCTGGCAAGGACCCTTCTCCGAGCCCTTCTCCGCTGTCCCTCTCAGGGAGGCAGGTGGGAGCTATCTCCAAACTGCCCCAAGAGACCAAATTCCCCACCCTGAGATCTCCAAGCCCAGTGCTCCCAATTGGCACGAGCCTCACAGCCCAGACCGGCTCCAAACTTTGCTCCCAACTCCTTGGTTAGGCTGAAGAAGACGCGTTTTACCCCTGTGCGGCTCCTGGGCCAGACCGAACCTTCTCCCCACTGCTCAGCTCCTGCTTGTGGCCTGGCTGAGCAGAGCCCAGCCGGTTTGGGAACAGCCACGGGCACCTCCACGCCATGGAGCCCACACTGGGTTGGTGGTATGCAAAGGCAGATGACGAAGAGCGTTTCCCTCACCCAGCCGCAAACCCCAAAGCGTCATCTGCCCAACACAACCCTCCCCACATCCCCTTGGCATCGTCTCCCCGATAACACGGGTGCCCAGCCCTGGAGGGGGAGGTTTGGAGGGGGATTTGGGGGACCGTAGCTCAGCTGCAGGGCCGGGCACAGACCCCTCTTGTGCCTGGCCCAAACCCAGCTGTGGGCAGCGCCAGGGTGTCCTCGCAAACCTCCAGCTGTGGCACAGCAGGAGCTGAGACCAGCACCCATAGGGTGTTCAGCCACTCCAGCACTGCCCCAAAGGCAGCCGTGGGGACACACTGTGGGTTCAAACTCATCTCCTCCTCTTCGCTCGCAGCACAGTGAAGCTCCTGGTAGGCTGAGTCTCCCCAGCCCACGTTTGGCCTTCAAGTGCCTGCAGGGGGGAGGCTGAACAAAGCCCAGAACTTGGACTTTTGGCTTCAAGACAAACTGCTTCCTCACAAGGCTTTGAGGAAGATGAGTGACAACCCCGTTGCTGTGGGATGGAGCTCGTGTGGAGAGCGACTTACCCGAGGGCTGGCAGCACCTCTCTGGTGGGTTCCCGTGGACGCTTGTACCCGACAGCCCTGGCTTCTTCCCCAGCCGCTGGTGCAATGCAAGAAGCAGAGACTCACCGGGGAAGCAGCAGCAGCTGTGCGGCCGGTTTGCTCACGGGGGCTTCTGGCTCAACCATCTCACCGCTTCCCCTTTCTGATGGCACAAACAAACCCTCCTCTCCCATGCTGCAGTTCCTTTGACGGCCACCCCGGTGCTGCCCCGATGCTCACTCCCACCTTGGCGGGGGTCGGGGCTCTGGAGGGGTCCAGCAGAATTGCCCGGGGGTGTCGTGCACCCCGAAGCGCCCGGTGCAGGGGTCTGGAGAGCCGCTGAACCAGTGATGGCTGCGAGGACAGCAATTGCCGCAAACTGTTTCCTGTTCCGTTCAGAGAAAAACCGCTTGGTGTGTGCCGTGAGAGCCCGGCACATATGGGCTGCGCCTGCGGGCTCGTTGCACCATCGCTCATTAGCCTCCTGCCAGGGGCAGCGGGGCCTCGCACAGGGCTCCCGTTAACGAGTCCTTCATCTTTGCTGTCATGGGTTGACCTTAGGCAGCAACACAGACCCCGAAGCCGAGCAGGTCTGAGTCTTACGATATCAAAGCAGAGAAACGCCTGTGCTGGCCACAGTCACCTGTGCAGGTGAGAGATGGACACTTCAGCTCCCAAAGTGAGCGGGGTGAGGGCCGAGGCAGCGATCCCCCTCCCTCGCCGCGTGCAGTCCGGCAGACAGAGCCCCCGGCACGGCCATTTGCTCCGTCCCAACAAGCCCCGTGGGCTGCCGAGCGCACGCTCCTCTTCCCACTGCCCCGAGCACACGCCAGCCCCAGCCAAGCCCTAATCAGAACAAGATCCGCTCACACTCCAATTACTCAGAGACCGCAGCTTTGGCAGCGCTTGGAATAGCAATTACCCCGTGCTCCAGGAAACCGCAAGAGCAAAGAGGAATTAAGGTTTAATTTCTCTGAAGTCCACAAGAGCTCGATTAGTATCAGAGATCAGGGCTGCTCCTAAACCCCAGGCAGCTGCTCCAGATGACGGGATGGTGAGTTGTCCTCAGCCTGAACGAGGATGAGTTCTTCTCCTCCTGCCCAGTGTCTGACATGGTTTGAGGGTTACCGAAGCAGAGCCGTGGAGGCAGCCTGGAAGAGCGATGAGGGATAACGACACAAGGGCTGGCCGAGCCTTGGTGGCTTCTCCGCAGCATCCCAGAGAGCCCAGTGGTCAGCAAACCTCCCGTGAGAGCACGTTCAAGTTTTGTGGCTTTGCTTAATTTTGCATTGTAGGATCCCCAGAGAACAAGCCTGTGCCAGAAGACACAACTCCAAAACATCTTAAAATACCTGTTTGTTTCTCCTCACTCCCACGGCGAGAGAGCTCCAGACAGGTTTGGCAAAGGGCCGAAGTCCCACTGAGCTACTCAGTGTCCCCAAAAGCAGCGTGGGGCGGCGGGCAGGACAGGGCCGGCTCCGGTTGTCTCCTTCAGTCCCACCTTCGGAGGCACTAGGTGGCATCAGCACCGCACTGTTTCTGTCCGACCAACACCACCATCTCCCTCCTGTCCCATCGCCGCTCCGGCCAGAGGAAACGGCGAGTGGCATTTGTCGGGGAGAGGAGCGCCTCCATCCCTCTGGAAAAGCAGAACTTTCAGCAAAAAGAAAATCACGCTACTCACTTTTATCCCAATTCAGTGCTTGAGTGTCAAACGACATCCCTGGGTCCTGCCGAGGGGCAGGTGGGGAGCGGTGGAGAGCAGAGCTCCATGCGCGGCCGGGGCAGCCCCAAACCACACGTCAGGTTGGGCAGGGAAAGACCTTGTCTGGGGCCGAGGCATGCAGAGCCGGGGCGACGGCGTGGGCAGCCAGCCAGGGAGCCGGGCAAACCCTGCCACGGCCGGACAGAGCCATCAGGGAAGGAAATATTAAACCAAAACTATTAATTCCACCATCTGCATTGCCGCAGCAGCATCATGCCTGGCCATCAGCCCCGCGAGGAGCATACACGGGCAGCTCCCACTCCTGCAGAGCTGCACGGTGGCAACCCCAGGGCTGCGAGGAACAACCCAACGCTGGAGGGTTCTGCCGAGGGGAAAGAAAGCAGGCGTAACCCAGCGGCTAAATACAGAGAGAAGAAAAATAGCGCTGGTAAGTCCCCCACCTCGTTGACGCAGCTGATGAGGAAGGAAATCTCACCTCTGCTGGAACAAACCCAGTTAGAAAGATTTGACACTTCCAGAGCGCCCTGCTGCAGCACAGGAGGGGAGACGGTTCCCAGCACAAACCCCGGTACAGCTGCTCAGCCGCAGGACGGGGATGAAGCAGATCCTCAGACTTTAAATTTTTCTTAAAAATCACCCAAGGGGAGTGCGGGTCTGTGCATGTGGGAGTAACAGAATGATGTTACGGAGAAGCAGCTCTCGCTGTTTCAGGCAGAAGGAATCTCTTCACCAGTGTTTACCCGATGGCATCGGACTGCCCAGAACCCCGCGGTGCGGCCACGGCCCAGCGCCCAGTGCCCCAGCCATCGGGCGCAGGACTCAAACTGGCTTCAGACCACAAGCCTATAATTAGCAGATCAGGATTTTCTTTTTCTTAACACCATTCATTTTGCAACTGAAAGTATTGCTTATTCCAAGATACGAATTTAGTGCTTTCTCTGTGGTGAAGCAGCATTCGGTGCTACACAGACAGCAGACTCAAAATGAACAGTTATTCTTGGATAATTTATTCAGAATTTTAATATAAACAGTTAATTGTTCAATATTCTGACACACAGCAAGATTTTTTTTTCTTAATACTCAAAGATATTTTCTGTACACGTCACTGCTTGGCTCTTATATATGAAAACATTGAAAAAAATAAATCAAGGGAAAGGTTTTGCTTTTTTTTCCTTCTTTTTTTAAAAAAAATCATGGCACATTTGATCCTTTATTTCAAACAAGAGGTATCTGCAATACCATTTGTATTCTGGAACCTTAGATATGCAGAGAGAAAAGTGGGAGCAGCAAGTTTAAACAGAAAAAAAAAAAAAAAAAAAAAGCCTTCACAGAACAACACCTGACATGTAACTGAAACTCTGTAGTTGATTTAAGGACACGCAGAAAGCATTTGCTTTTGGCTGTGTTTGATGGAGCGACGTCCTGAACCCCCATCCATGCAGGTCCTCAAACACAAACCAGTTTTTATACTGCAGGAATAAAATCATTCCCCAAATTGAAGCAAAAGGAAACGCTTTTCTTTTTTAAATAACGTTCTACCTTTTCAGATTTAGAAGTGGCCTTTCTAAAATTCTCCAGCAGCCATTTTTCACGGGACTCGGTTATGGGAGAAATATTCGGGCACTGAGACGGTGGAAGCGTTGCTGGACGCTGCTGGGAAAATCCGGATTAACAGAAGAGCTTTGGTACCTCGTCCAGCTCAGCTCTCCCTCAGGTAATCGGTCCCGAGCTCCAGCTTTCCTGGCGAC